CTGGTATCAAGAGCTTGTGTTTCGATTCAAGGGAAGTATCAATCAAGAACGATTGAAGAATTCAAGATGACAAGTTATGGGAATGCAAACTATCCAGCAGCGCTGCCAATTCTGAAAGTTGACAACTATGAGAATTGGTGCAAGCAGATGAAAGTCCTATTAAGGTGTCAAGGTCTTTGGGACCTTGTAAAAGATGGAGTCGAAGCGCTTGGCAAAAACGCTTCAGAAGAAGAAAAGAAGAAATATACAGAATCTGAGAAACAGAGTTATAAAGCATTGTTTATAATTCATCAATGTGTCAGTCCAGACAATTTCGAGAAGATTGGTGATTCAGAATCTGCAAAAGAAGCTTGGGAGATCCTTGAGAAGTCTTTTGGAGGCGCTGAGAAGGTGAAAGAAGTGAGGTTACAAACTCACAAAAGAACCTATGAACTGCTTCAGATGGAAGACAGTGAAAACATATCTGATTTCTTCACTAGAGTTACAAAACTAGTGAATCAAATCAAGACATGTGGAGAAACATTAACAACAAGAGCTGTTGTTTCGAAGATCCTGAGATCCTTAGCCCCTAAGTTCGACCACATAATGGTGGCGATAGAAGAAGGGAAAGACTTGTCGAAATTGACAAAGGAAGAGCTTCAAGGGACGCTCGAATCTCATGAACAAAGAATGAACGAAAGAGCTGCAGGAAAATCGAAGAGTGATGTAGCCTTGCAGGCACATTCAGCAAAAGAGACCAAAGACAAAGGAAAATATTTCGACAGAAGTAGAGGTGGCTACAACAAATCGAATGGTAGAGGAAACCAAATCGAAGGAGACATGTCGAATCAAAGAAGACCACACCAAGGCAACCAAAGAGGTGGTGCTGCAAACAGAGGAAGAGGTGGTGGTCGAAAACCTGATAAAAGTCACATTCAATGTTACAATTGTCAAAAGTATGGTCACTATTCGAGTGATTGTCCAGAAAAACGAAATAATCAAGAAACTGATGCAAGGCTTGCAAAACATGATGAAGAAGAAGAAATGATGTTGATGGTCACAACAAGAGATGAAGACAGATTCAAGGACCAATGGTACTTGGATTCAAGATGTTCATCACATATGTCTGGAAGGAAAGACTGGTTCGTCAATATAAAACCCTCAACGAAGAATATGGTAAAATTTGCAAATGACAACACACTAGCAGCTGAAGGTATTGGTGATGTTATGATCATGAGGAAAGATGGCAAGAAATCAGTAATTTCAAATGTATTGTACATACCAGGCATGAAGAGCAATTTGCTCAGTATAGGGCAGTTGGTCGAAAAGAACTATAAAGTGTCAATCGAAGATAAGTTGATGAGAGTCGTTGATGCAAATGGGAGATTAATCTTGAAGGCTCCTATGTCTCAGAATCGAACCTTCAAGATTGAACTAAACGTGATGGAACACAAGTGCCTTTCGACTGCAGCTAGCAGAGATGAATGGATATGGCATTATAGACTTGGTCATCTCAACTTCAGAGACATCAGAGATTTGAAGAGAAGAAATATGGTTTCAGGATTGCCTGAAATTGACATTCCAAACAAAGTATGTGAAGAATGTGTGCAGGCGAAGCAACACAAGAACAGCTTCAGCAAAGATGCAGGAAGCAGATCGAAGGCTAATCTCGAAGTCATATACTCTAATGTATGTGGACCAATCCAGGTGGATTCGATGGGAGGTAACAAATACTTTGTTACATTCATAGATGATTTCAGTCGAAAGCTATGGACTTACCTGATCAAGAAGAAAAGTGAAGTGTTCGAAGTATTTATCAAGTTCAAGTCCATGGTCGAAAGACAAAGTGGTCGAAAGCTCAAAGTTTTGAGAACTGATGGTGGAGGAGAATATGTGTCGAAAGATTTCGACAAATTATGTGAAAAAGAAGGGATTGTGCATGAGGTGGTGCCACCCTATACTCCACAGCAAAATGGAATTGCAGAAAGGAAAAATCGAACCATAATGAACATGGTGAGAAGTATGTTGAAAGGCAAGAATTTACCCAAAGAATTCTGGGGAGAAGCTGTTTCGACTGCAACATACATTTTGAACAGAAGTCCTACAAAGAAGCTAGAAGGAATTACTCCAGAAGAATGTTGGTCTGGTGTGAAGCCTAGCTTAAGTCATCTGAAAGTATTTGGATCTATTGCACATAGACATGTGCCAGATCAGTTGAGAAAGAAACTTGATGACAAGTCAAGTCAAATGATCTTAGTTGGATATCATTCGACAGGAGGCTACAAATTGTTCGATCCAGAGAACAAGAAGATTGTGATCAGCAGGGACGTGATCATAGATGAGTTCAAAGAATGGGATTGGACTACAAATGTCAAGAAAGATTCAGTGGGAATCTTATTCGAAGAGCCAGAAACTCAAGTCGAAAGAGAAGTTCGACAAGAGGAGCCAGCAAATACACCCAGTACAAGCAGACCTCAAAGAACAAGACGCATGCCTGCAAGATTGCAAGATTGTGTGATTACATCAGATGATGTAATAGATGATGAAGGTGAGCTGGTACATTATGCTTTCTATGCAGATGTCGAACCTGTTAATGCAGCTGAAGCATTAAAGGATTCGAAGTGGGTGAAAGCAATGAACGAAGAAGTAAAGTCTATCGAAGACAACAACACTTGGTCACTTGTTGAATTGCCTCAAGGCAAGAAGGCAATTGATGTCAAGTGGGTATACAAAGTGAAGACTAATTCGAAAGGTGAAGTAACTCGACACAAAGCAAGACTTGTGGCGAAAGGATTTCTACAGAAAGAAGGAATAGACTTCGACGAAGTTTTTGCACCTGTTGCTAGGATCGAAACAATCAGGTTGGTTGTTGGTCTAGCAGAAATCAACAGTTGGCACATATGTCAGATGGACGTGAAGTGTGCATTCCTAAATGGACCCTTAGATGAAGAAGTTTATGTTAAACAACCAGTTGGGTTTGTGAAACATGACGAAGAAAGAAAGGTGTACAGGCTACATAAAGCCCTGTATGGTTTGAAACAAGCTCCAAGGGCTTGGAATAAGAAAATTGATAGTTTTCTAAGGGAGAAGGAATTTGTGAAGTGCATAACTGAACATGGAGTATATGTAAGAAGAAGCAAGAGTAAATTGCTTATACTATGTCTCTATGTAGATGATTTGTTGATAACAGGTAGCTGCAAGAGTGAGATCGAAGACTTCAAAGTTGATCTTAGCAAGGAATTCGAAATGTCTGATTTGGGTGAGATTTCATATTTCCTTGGTATCGAATTCTACAAAAGCAGTAGAGGTTTGATGATGCATCAAAGAAGATATGCAGGAGAAATTCTCAAGAGGTTTGAGATGGAAGAATGCAACTCAACTTCGACACCTGCAGAACCAAGACTACAACTGTCGAAAGATGCAGATGAAGATGATGTTGATCCAACCCAATACAGAAGACTTATTGGATCATTGAGATACCTTTGTCATACAAGGCCTGACTTAGCATACAGTGTAGGTATGGTAAGTAGATTCATGCAGAAGCCAAAGGTATCACATCTAGCAGCTGTGAAGAGGATACTAAGGTATCTCAAAGGAACTTTCGATTATGGCATTCTGTTTCCTGCAGTTGATAAAGGAAAAGAATGCAAGTTAGTGGGATACACTGATTCGAGTTGGTGTAGTGATGCTGAAGATCGAAAGTCAACAGTAGGATATGTGTTTATGCTAGGTGGTGCAACAATTGCTTGGAGTTCGAGAAAAGAACCAGTAGTAGCATTATCATCATGCGAAGCAGAATACATAGCTGCTTCTCTTTGTGCATGCCAAGCAACCTGGATGGTGAACTTGGTCGAAGAGATAACAGGGAAAAATCATGGAGCAATTACCATGAAGATATACAGCATGTCAGCTATCAATCTGGCGAAGAACCCAATAGCACATGGTCGAAGTAAGCACATCGAAATGAGGTTCCGTTATCTTCGAGAGCGGGTAGCAGATGGGAAGATGAATTTGGAACACTGCAGAACTGAGAATCAGATTGCAGACATCATGACGAAGGGAGTGCAGGTCGAAGTATTCAGAAAGTTAAGGGCCATGATGAACATAGACAGTTTAGACACAATGAATTAGGTGGTGTGTTAAATTGTAATTCATAGGTGTCAAAATAAGATTTGATTTGTTTAGATTTAAATAGATTTGAATTTAAATCTAGATTAGATTTGATTTAGTAAAGAGATATTTTGGGCTTGGGTTTAGCTTAGGGAGCAAGCTAACCTAAATCTATAAATAAGAGGGAGTAACCCTTATTTTGTAATTCAAGTCATTGAACTCATTCACAGTATTTTGCAGTTGCAAAGTGAATTAATAAAGTTTCCACAGTTTGTGGGCAGAATAGAAATTCTGCAGAAATATCTCCATTGTTATTTTATTTGTTTGTTTCATAACTTATCATCAAGTGGTGGTCGAAATTCATCATAGTGTATTGGTGGATTTCCAACAAAATAGTGACTCGTGATCTATAGTGAAGAGATTTTCTTTTGTTAAAGAGAATAAAAAAAAAACATAAAAAGGGCAAAATTATGATATGTTTAACCCTTTATTTTTCGATAGTTTCACCATTGAAAATTCGTATGACCTTCAACTATTATGAGAAGTTAATACAAAAATATTTTTAGTATAACTAATAATCAACAAAGCTGAACACTACTAACTAACAAATTGCTTTAACCAAACCATTACATGTTTAAATTGATTTTATTTCTGTTGTAACATAACACTGAAACAAATTGTTTTAGCCAAACACAACGACCTTAACTCAGTCCCTACCAATTCTTTGCGTGAGTCTTTCTTCTGCTCAAGAATGATTAGTAATTGTAGAACCCTCCATCAATATGTTATATAATATATTTATTACCAAATATCAAAATAATTTTTTAAATAGTAATAGTTGATTTTTATTTATGATATAATAGGATTACACAAAGGTTCCCGAGAAATTCAAAAGAGTTTGGTCTCTTTTCCTAAGATAATCTTAAATTCGTTGTATTAGAAGGTGCAACAAATTCTAATAGTGTGGGAGGATTAATAGAACGATAGAAAGGGTACACATCATATCTGATGTAACATCTAGAATTTGTAGACTCCCCTACCATAAAATTGTTACTTTCACTGTTACAAGTCCAAAGTACCTCTGTTATGGTAGCATTCAAACATTTCCTGCAATCTTGTGGCGACAGATCAGGTGTGCACTGAGCCTGAAAATAATGACTCGGTAATCCAGATACAATTGCTTCCTTTGTAGCATACTTCTTTACGCCAATTGAAAAATTGGCTGCTTTATCTGCAACTTCATTCAAAGTTTCAGAAACTAAACGCTTAGATGTTGTCAGGTTAGCCACATTGACAGAGGAGTAGGAGCCAGAAGATAAACTATGTAAGTCATCAGTGGAGAAGGAATATTTGTCGGAATATCGCACCATGCACATGTCGTACCAAATCACCATATCTTTGGACAGGGAGCAACCACTTTCCCAATCATAGTAGCTGGTAACATTTGTGACACACTGACTACAGAGATGAGCAGGGACATCACCCTTGCACATAAACCAGCCATAGACTGTGTTGGAGGAGTTGTTTATGTCTGTTACTGTGGCGTTGTGGAATTCTTTGTTGGCAGTAGCGTTGGATGATAAATATGAGAAAAGGGTCTTGAGATTTATTTGAAAGACACTGTTTGGAGTGGTTTCGTGGATGTTTGAGCAAGAAGACCAACGAAAATTGTTGTTGTTGTTTGGTTGAATGGTTATGAAATTGATGAAGCAAACAAGGATAAAGAGAAAGATGGTCTTTGATGGCATTATCATGATGGATGGATGTATTATCAATGCTAAGTTTGTTGTTCTCTATTTATCTAAATTTGAAGTGAAAATTCATACGTCTAATACTGAATAGTAAAGCATCACAAGTCAATGAATTCACACGTCAATAAATGCACAAAGAAATTCATGTAGTAGTTACTAGCAGTACTTTTCAAACTTTGAAATCGTCATAGATAATAAAAATATCAAGATAGATAGCTATAGCATTAACTTATATTGGAATCAGAAGATAAGATGCATACTAGTATATGATTAATGGTTGACTTGACCCTATAGACTTTAGAGATTAATTGGGCCATTATTAAGAAATTTTTACCAAGATACCACTCTTATAACCATTAATTCTCATAATACTATCAATTTCAACTAATATTCTCAACAAAAAAAAATTAAAAATAGGAGGCTCCGCCCAATGGATGGGCGGATGTTCTTTATGTTACAGCTTCAGCCTATTGCATTGACGAAGCTATTTAAATATAGTTTTTTTTAATATAATATTAAAAATAAATAAAAATTACCATTAAATAAAAAATTAATATTAAAATTAATATTTAAAAATAAGTTTAAATTAAAATAAATGTTAATCATAGTAATAAATAAATACGGCTCCGCCAGTGCAATGGGCGGGGGATTTTATTATTTAAGTACGGTTCCGTCAGTGCAATGAATGGAGACTCTCGTTATTTTATTATTTCAGTATGACTCCGTCACTGCAATGGGCAGAGGGTTTTATTATTTTATTATTTAAGTACGGTTCCGCCAGCGCAATAGGCGAAGGCTCTCGTTATTTTATTATTTCAGTACGGCTCCGTCACTGCAATGGACGAAGAGTTTTATTATTTTATTATTTAAATACGGTTCCGCCAGTGCAATAGGCGGAGGCTCTCGTTATTTTATTATTTCAGTACGGCTCTGCCACTGCAATGGACGGAGGGTTTTATTATTTTATTATTTAAGTACGGTTCCACCAATGTAATGGACGGAGACTCTCGTTATTTTATTATTTCAGTACGGCCCCGCCACTGCAATGGGCGGAGGATTTTATTATTTTATTATTTAAGTACGGTTCCGCCAGTGCAATGGACGGAGGCTCTCATTATTTTATTATTTCTGTACGACTCTGCCACTGCAATGAGCGGAGGGTTTTATTATTTTATTATTTTAAATTTTTTGCTGTGAACTATAAATACCATTGATGTTGAATGATCATAGCTACACTTAAAATATTTTTCTTTAGTTCTATCTTAAAAATATCTTCAACATCCGGAGAGTTTCCAACGTTTCCATATATGAAAAGAGACGCCGAACTGCTTTTTTTCTCCAGTAAAGCCTCCGATGAAGATCAAATTGTTGAACACGCAGACATTTGAGCATCTGCATAGGCACTTTGAGGGATGGTTAGGGAAGAAATTGCCCAAGGTGAAAAGATTCGGAAAATTGAGAGGTTAGTTACGGTGCCTGACTTAAATGGACCCACTCGTTCTTGGAGACTTGTTCACAACGATGCATGTGTTCTTATGATGATGCTTCAACAAAAAGATATGTGTTGCTGGTTGTAATATCCTAGAAATGCTTATGTCTTTGTTTGAACATGTTGATGTTGTTTAGGTTTAATGTTGTTGCTAAGTTCTACTATTCGTCTAAGTATTTTAATTTATGTGTTGTTTTTTCGAATTGTTATTTATATTAAATGCAGAAGTATTAGTGGAATGAAACATAATTTCTTGGCATCATTATACATACAACTTTGAAGATTGATAACAAAATGAGTAACTAATTATTACTAGTTCCTACATTGGGGCATCGCGTTCGGTTGTGACCTGGAAGACGACACAATGTGCATTTTCTCTCCAACTTATCATAAGCGTCCATTTCTATTGTAATACGGGTGCTCACAGGATGACCTTTCTTGTTCCTCCGCATAACTGGATTATGGCAAATTTGATCTCCCTCATAAGTGGGCCAATACTCATCGTATGGTAGAGCTGGAAAGCTAGTGCTGTAAACCCCAAATAAGTTCGCCACCTTGTAAACGTCAGACAATAGAAGAAATGCGTCTTGGCGCACCATGGAACATACAGCGATAACATGTGAACAAGGAACACGATATGCTTGAAACTTTCCGCAGTCACACCACCCATCCATTAGGCTGACCTTGTAACGCCCCAATGGCTTCCCCTCACCGTGGTTAATTGTCTCCTTCACATTGAAAGTGTTATTATTATAGTAAAAAATGCTTACTTGATGCGTGGCAGATTTTGACGTCTCTTCTTTCATCACCTTCACGCACCGCTCTGTAAATGTTTGTCCAGAATTCAAAACTACACTCCACTTTGCACCCCTTTCAACAAAGAGCATTCTCATCCTATAGTATGTTGCACTTACTAACGCTGTGATGGGTAGATTGCGAGTGCCTTTAAATACAGAATTTAGTGACTCGACAAGGTTTGTTGTCATGTGCCCCAAACGACGACCCTCGTCAAATTCCCTCGTCCATTTTTCAACTGGAATTTTGTCTATCCACCTCAAAGCATCACCATTATCCATCCCAATTTGATTACGATAATATTTAAACGTTGGTTGGTTCAGCGCATACCCTACATGTTACAAAAAATATTGGTTAATATAATGGTATACTATCAACGAGCATCTAATGTTTACATAAAAGATACTTACCCATGTTGATTATTTTTTTTGGAGGTTACGGTCCTTGATATCCTTCATAAAATTTTGCGCAATATACCTGATACAATACACATGGACAAATGCAGTGTTATTCCAACCATTTTCAGGATTGTTATAAGCGCTTTCGATAGATGCATGTCGGTCAGAAATCAAACACAAGCCAGGTTGAGGAGCTACATGCATTCTCAAGTTTTTTAGAAAGAAACCCCAACCATCCGTCGTCTCACCTTCCATTAGGGCAAAGGCAATTGGGAAAATATTGTTGTTTCCGTCTTGTGCTACATCCATTAATAGTGTACCTTTGTACCTTCCATATAACAAGGTACCATCAATATGTAGTAAAGGCTTGCAATATGCAAAGCCACATATGCATGGTTGGAAAGCCCAAAATAGTCGGTGGAAGATTTGTTTCCCAGCAACAACAGTCCTGTCATCTGTATATAATGGTAGTGTTTGTATTTCTACTACAGTGCCTGGAACAAACTTCTTAAGGCCAACAAGTAATTTGGGAGTTCATTGTATGACTTTTCCCAATTACCATACACTTGTTCGATTGCTTTATTTCTAGAAATCCAAGCCTTCTTGTAAGATGGAGTGTATTCGAAAAAAGAAACAATTTCGTTAATACATACACTCAACTTGATAGAGGGATCCTTATCAACAAGAAGCATTAATCGTTCACTCATCAATCGAGAGCTTAGTTGTTGATGATCCTGATTAAAGATGGTCGTTGAACAATTGTGTGGGGGCTCCATGATTCCTATCTCCCATAGGTCACTCCTTTTCCTATAGGATGCCACTAGAAGAAAATTGCAACCACTACACTTACAACAAATTTTATATCTCTTCGTGTCAGAACATGTAACCTTGAAATCAATGACATGTTTCATATGATACTTGGATATCGCAAATACACAGTCATATTTGTTTTTGAACTGGTTCCCAACAGCTATGTCATCCTCTAGTGGAAGACGAGGATTGTGGGGCCATTCAAATGATGATCCGTCTCCATTTGTTCACAGAGTGGTCATGTGGGCAGGTGGACAATAGACATTCTCAAGTGGAATGTGTTGTTCAGTTTTGTTGATTGCATCCACCTTTTAACGACCACCTTCTTTGAATAAGGTAGTGAACAAATCATCAGCTTGTGACTCAGTCTCTTCTTCTTCGTCATCTTCGACAACGACTTCGTTGAGAATTATGGAGATGGGCTCAGCCTCAGTGGGATTGGCCACTTATGAGATTTGAGATTGTTGGCAAAGTTGAAATTTTATGTATAAATCTACGCATGTAACCCAAATAATTCATGATTGTAAAACATAGTTTCCACATCATCATCATCTCGGATTTTCAATGCAAAATACTTCACCTGGTTCACACTGAAATTAACAGCATTTCAATATATAATCCGTGAGACAGCTCCAGATTGCATCCTTGTTTGTATCCTCTCTCTTAAATATTCGAACTTCGCATTTCTACTTAATTTGAACCGACATATATCAGTATTTTCGAATATAATGCCCATATTATCAGAGACAAGGATCTCTCCATTGTAATGAGCATCCACTACATATTTAGGTGTTTGAGACATGATGATATTTTTGTGAAAAAATATTTTGAAATGGGTTGAGTTGATGAAAAATTGTAGGAACAAGAGTTGCATTTAAATGATATATGTTTTGTATTTTGTAAACATATAATAATATTTATTTATAGGAATGTTGACTTGTTAATGGTCAAATAGACAAAAGCAACACATCTGCCCATTGTAGATGCAGAAGCATTTATGTGTGTAAAGGCTCCGCCCAATGAGAAGGCGGAAGCTGTAACTCCCGTAATTTAATTAATTATTTAATTAAATTATTTTTGGAATAATTGTGAAGTTGTACTCTGATGATAGTTGATGTGTTGTGATTAGTTGGATTTATTTATTTTTTTAAGTTGTGGGATAATATTAGAATGATAATATTATTTGATGTGGACTTGTTTTAAAGGAATATAAGTAGTAAAAAGGGGGTGTAGTAGTCTTAAGCCCATTAAGGTATTTTGAGAATTATAGAGTTATTTTATTATTGTTAGAAATAATAAGAAAAGAAGAAGCTGTAAGGGAGAAAGAATAAGGGTTGGAAGAAGAGAACGTGAAAGTTGTTGGAAAGGAGGAAAAGAGGCAGAACGGAAATCAACCAGAAAAGTTATAGAGTAACCTTCAATCCAAGGTAAGGGTGGGGTTCTGACTCTATAATAGGATTTATGATGACTGGTTTATGGGATTAGATGTGAAAATGTTGTCTTGTTCATGA